TGCGGACGGAGGTCAACGTTTGAGCGCAAATTTGTTTCGATTTCAGCCGCGAATGTTATTTTGACAATTGTAGATTATTATGATGATTATCAATTATTGTTAGCCCACCCCCACCCCTCTCCCATTAACGATCGCTGACATGGCAACAGGGAAAGTCTACGCGAGAAGGTACAACACTTTCATCTTCTCTGGTTCTTTCGGAAAAGTCACATCGATGAAAAAAAAAATATATAAAAAATCCATAAAAAACAAAAACTCACGACGTTTCGATCGCAACACATGCATGATGACGACCGCTTGTGTTGCGATGGAAACGTCGTGAGTTTATGGCTTTTATAAATTGTTTTTATTTTGTTATTATTTTTATTTCTTTTCCTTCTACGTGACTTTACCGAAAGTTCCAAATAAAATGAATTCCTGCAGTCACGAAAGTTTTAAGTCAAAAACTTTCTTCGTTCAATTTTTTGAACGAAGAAAGAGATGGTCGCGTAAGGCGTCGTGTCAATGCTTCAATCGCACGAACAGAGCTCAATCGATCCAATCAAGTGATCACGTTGTGGGGCAAAAATGTGTTCAATGCAGATCAGGGTGTGCCCTACACCTCCCCCCCACAAACCCCGCTCCCCCCCCACCCAGGACAACCAGCATGAAATATGTATTCAACAACAAGTGTGAAAGAACACACATCAATTAAAAACGCGGTTGGAATGTATGTTTTGTGAAAATGCTTAATGATGTGATTAGTTCAGAGGAAGCGGCGATATTCAATAGCCTGGGTGCGATCGTGCGAAGAGGCAAATCAAATATTGGGGGTCCCTCCACCCTGACCGATTGCTGAGCCAATAATGTCATCACCTCGCCACTGGTTAAATGATTTGGTTAATCAGGAGGGAGGGAGTGTTGAAAAGGAAGGGACATTTTCGATAATTGTTTACATTTTTGGCAATGTAAACATTTTTGTAAAAAAATAAAATTGTGTAAATTTTTCAAATTTTGGCAATTTTTTTGATAATTTAACACTTTTGATAACTGGAAATATTTCACATTTTTTATAATTTATCATTTTTTACAATTTTTTTTATGTCTTTTTTGCTGATTACATTTTGAAAACATTTTACATTTGAGATTTTTCACATTTACATTTTTTCTCTTAAGAATTTTTCACTTTTGATAATATTTTTTTTTTATCATTTGACATTTTTTGATAATTTAACATGTTTCTGTTTATAATTTGCCGCGACGTTTTGCTGAACATTACAATCAGCAGCAGCATCACCAGCTTCAGGGAATCGTCGTACAAATTAGTAAACAAACAAAGAACCACGTGGCATATTCCTCCACCCCCCCCAAGACTTCACACATTTATTTGCTTGCTCTCCGTCGGGAGATGGCTCGCTATCGTCAGAGATTGACACCTATAACTGGGACGACGTTCAACGCCAAAATAAACTTAATTTAGAATCGTGAAGCTTGTCGTGAAAGCCTACGCACAGAATAAACAATCGTCGTCTTTCCTCGACGAATTCCCACTACGCTATCAAGTTTCTGAATCAACGCCACGTACCGTCGACCGTACTTCAACGCATTCACTTTATACTTATTATTATTCAAAAATAAAATAAGCTGAATCACCCCGAAAGTGGAGCTTTTGTTTCTTAATTTCACATTAGCTCTGCAGCGCGCGCGCATGCACGCAGTTGCAATTGTCCAGTCCAGGATGTCCCCCCCCACCGTTCTTCTCTTCGCTGGGCTGCGAGGGGACACGCTGGCGAACGACACACACACAGAGAGAGAGAGCTGGAGACGGAGACGCTCCGCATGGGTTGACTGCCCTCCCCGTAATTCAACTCTCTCCGGTTTTTTGTTTTTGTTGCAAATAAACGACGCGCGGCTTCGCGAACCGTTCTTGCAGCTTCAGGTGTCACGGGAATGGCTCGGCAGGACGCGCACGAACCTCCGTGGGCAGTGATCGACGCGTCCGTTGTTTTGACGCGCGCGGCCGTGGTGGTCGTGGTGGTGGTCGTGGTGGTGGACGTGGTGGTGGTGGTGGTGGTGGTGGTCGTGGTGGTCGTGGTGGTCGTGGTGGTGGTCGTGGTGGTGGTCGTGGTGGTGGTCGTGGTGGTGGTCGTGGCGGTGGTGGTCGTGGTGGTGGTGGTCGTGGTGGTGGTGGTCGTGGCGGTGGTGGTGATAGTCGTGGTGGTTGTGGTGGTGGTGGTGGTTGTGGTGGTGGTTGTGGTGGTGGTGGTTGTGGTGGTTGTGGTGACGGTGGTGGTGGTTGTGGTTGTTGTGGTGGTGGTGGTTGTTGTGGTGGTGGTGGTTGTGGTGATTGTGGTGACGGTGGTGGTGGTTGTGGTTGTTGTGGTGGTGGTGGTTGTGGTGGTGGTGGTTGTGGTGGTTGTAGTAGTGGTGGTTGTGGTGGTGGTTGTGGTGGTGGCAGCGACGGTGGGGACTTTGTGAACGAGCGATTGTAGCCCCGTCGCGAGTACGATCAAAGTGGAGAGGGAGCTCGTTTGCTCTACGTGGTAGTGTGGACTTGGTGTTTAGAGGCGGCCGTGGTGGTAGTGGTGGTGGTGGGAGGGAGGGATGGGTGTGCGGAGGTTGTGAAATGGGGGGTGGGGGTGTGCGTTCATCTTGGGTGGATCACGAACAATCCGCGGGCAGCGATGACGACGGCGACGGTGATTGTGATGAAGCGGCCTGCGCTCTTTATCCTTGAACCGCCCCAGTTGTGCGAAACCTTTCACCCCCCCCAGCTCCCCATCCACCCACCCCCCAGGGTGGGCCGCCCAGCTAGCCAGAGCCGTCAAGTGCGGCGTGACGGTGGCTGTCATCGCCGGTTTCTTCTCGTCTTGGCCACGGTCGCACGGCTTCACATCCTCCCCCCCCCCCACTCCTCCTCCATCTCCACCACCACCCCCCCCCCCAAGCCTCTCACAGCTTCGTCTCAAGGACGGTCAGGCCGAGCGTTAAGGAGAAAACAAGAGACCGATGGCTTCAGCGAATACCAAAAAAATAAAATATTAAATCACCGTCGCTATCCCACGCGTGTGTGTACGCGTAGCGCGACGTTTAACAGATCCACTGCTGGATGAAACCGCACCCCCCCCCCCCCCCGCCGTCTCCCTCCGCCGCCAACCTCCCTCGCTCAACGCCGAGTAGTTTGGTGAAGGCGTGGAGGGGAGCAGCACAGACTTGGGGGAATAGAAGTATAGTACAACGGTGGGTTTTTGCTGCACTCCCCACCCCCCATGCTGCTTCCCATCACCGCCTTTCTCCACCGCAGCAGCAGCAGCAGTCGCCGCCGCCTGTAACAATCTGAAACCACGGCAGGTCACCCAGGCTGAGACCCGCTGAGCTTCTGAAACCACGTGAAGGGGATTGTCCTCCCCCCCCACACCCCCGCACATTCGTATGTATGTGTGTGTACGGCGAACTTCTTTCACACCGTACGTAGCCCAACCGTGCTAATCGGAGGTGCAACCCAAGCCACGATCACGTAGGCGGGCGCGTACACACGCAGACACAAAGACAAAGATCCCCCGTGTAGCCTCGAACAGACTGTTGGGGCAAGTGCTGTTAGCGAGCACCTATGAAGGCCGGCACGGCGGCACACGAGGGGGGAGTGGATGGCCAGCACCATGCCCGACCGCCTTTGTTTCCCTAGCGGGCGATGTTTACACACCACACCAGGTTCTCATTCGAGGCTGAGTCGACCTAGGGGAGGCCCAGGACCGGTTCAAATAATCGTCACTGGGTGTTGGCCGTGAGCGGGAATCGAACTCGGGTCTGCCGGGTTCGTAGCGCAGCGCGCTAACCGCTGCACCACCGCTCCCCACAAACAACGCACACGTTGGCGACAGAAACGGCACCTGCGACTTTTGAAAATAACACTTCACGTTTAAAAAACAACCCCCCATCCCACTCCACACACACACACAGAGACAAATCATTGAATACCGCACAAAGCAATACTGGCCGGGCCTCACGGTAAACAACACATGGGCACAATCGTGGCGCGTGCCCCCCACCATCTCCCCCTTCCCCTCACCCCCCCCCCCCCTTCGTCCTCTCCCCACCCGCCGTTTATAACGCCGCACACAACGCGACCCCATTTGAACCCAAACCCCCTCGGGGAGGGGAGCCTTGCCACTGATTGGAGGAGGATGTTCGAAAATTGTGCTTTGATTCCGTCGTGCCCCCCCTCTCTCTCTCTCTCTGCCCCCCCACGGCTCACCTTGATCAGTGACGAAAGGGAGAGCGAGAGAGTGAGCTAGAGAGTGAGCGAGAGAGTGAGCTAGAGAGAGGGGGGGGGGAGTTTACATAAAGCCAAGTTAAAAAAAAAACATTTACGAAATGATGAACGAAGCAAAGTGCCGAATACACCGAGCAATTTCTTGTTTCCACTGATCGTAAAAAAAGAAGAGAGAAAGACACAAGTGGAGAGAGAGAGAGGAGAGAGCGAGAGATATGAGTGTTGCTGCTCTCATTCTGGGGGGGGGGGGGGGGGGGGGTGGGTGTCTGCTGTTGGCACATAGCAGCCCGGACATTGCTTCATCAAAGTCAGCGAGCCATCGTCTTCCCTCCAGGGTCTCGCCACTTCTGTGACTCGATCTCGCGGTCGTACCCCGCTTGCCCTAATTGAAGCATTGATTTGACGGAGACACGGCTCGCCTCTGAGCGTTGTTAGCGGCGGTGCTTAATCCTTCGTGGATGATATCTCTATCTCTCTCGCTCGCTCGCTCTCTCTCTCGTGTGTTCTCATCTTGTTCTCCCCTCCACCCACACGTCTCTCTCGCCCCCCGCTCACCCCGCAACTCCCCTTGCCCACCCGCTCCCCGGCCGAATGTTAAATCGGCTGCCGTCCGTAACATCGGCTTATCAACTTTACGCTTTTTTGCCATTTCGCGTCCCTTCACGTGACAGAGATCATCCGCTTGAGCGCTCGCGGCCACTCACCCCCCCGCCCCACACCCCTACCCCCCGCGTCCTTCTCTGTGCGGATTTCAAATTTTACTGAGAGGGTGTTCCCGTCACGTGGTCGTCTTGCTGCTCCGGCTGCAGTGCCCGCGTCTTGCCCCGTGTCCCCCTGGTGCATCGCGAGGAGTCTCGTTGTTGGTCTCGAGTCCAGGGGGGGGGTTGGAGGGGCGCTCGGCAACCTGCTCCCGAATCACGTGCAGCTCTTTGGCTGCATCCTCAGAGGGGCAGCCGGTTATTATTATATTTGTATAAATATATTTTTTATAAGATACACTATGAGACCTCTTTTACCAGTGGCAAAAATATAGTAGTAGATTTTTACCCTTTAAACTGGTACAAAACTGATACCTTTTTACAAGCATTCATGTTTGCAATAACCGCAACACAAGCAGTCAAAATGCAAACAAAAAGAAACAACTCTGATAATGATATGCACTGTCCTTGGAGTTGATTGGTCCACACCCGAGACAGCTTTTCTTAGAGCCTAGTCTCCATTGGTGTTGGACCAGATGACGCCAAAAGGCGTACAATTCAAAAACAGCTCACTATCAGAGTATTGAGAGCTCGGGGTAAGCATTAACACTATGAGACATCTCCTTTACCAGTGGCAAAATATGTTTGTTGTTTCTTTTGATTGCATTTTGAATGCTTGTGTTGTGGTTATTGCAAACATGATGCCTTGTATAAAGGTGTCAGTTTTGTACCAGCTTAAAGGGTAAAAACCTACTACTATGTGAGTATAATTGATTGAAAATGGCAAGGGGTAGGCGGTGACCACGGCATGTCTTGGTGAGGATGAAATGTACGACGGCCCAGGTGTATCGTTGAGGAATTCACTAGGGGAGGCGGGGGGCTACACTCAATGGGGGGATTTAACACGTAGACTCATTAATCCCACCCCCTCCCCTCCACACTTTGCGCAAGAGCGCACAAGCGTGGTCACCACCTCTCCGCCTCTATGTAAGGAACGAAACGGGTGGACTTCTCCACAAATCTGGCTGTCGCCTGATGAAGCTGGTTGTAATTACTGGCGAAACGTCGTACTCGGATTGTAAATGTTGTGGCTTGGCTCTCCAACACACCGGTGTTGTGACGAATTGGCCACGTTCTATTTACATGACAAACCCTTACTAGTTGGCTGTGTTGGGCGGCGGCGGGTTTTAACGACACATTTACATATTTACACGATCTAACCCAAACAAAAAAAAACTCTTATGAATAGGGGGGAGTTTATTCCATCGCCAAATTAGTTTTATTCGAGTCAAAATCAGTTTCGTCGCCCGCTGTTTTCCTGACGCCGCTTTTGTGCGCGTCTACAAGAGGTTTGCGGCTCCTGAAACAATTGTTTTGGTCAAAGGGGAACAAAAAACGACTAAAACAAAATCTGACTCTTCTTCTTTAGACAGGTTGCCGACCGCCCTGGGCTGGACCGTCAGCCCGGTGTCCCGTAGACCTCGTGTCCCGTCAAACTGGTGTCCCGTAGACCTCGTGTCCCGTCAAACTGGTGTTCGTAGACATCGTGTCCCGTCAAACTGGTGTCCCATAGACCTCGTGTCCCGTCAAACTGGTGTCCCATAGACCTCATGTCGCGTCAAACTGGTGTCCCACAGACCTCGTGTCCCGTCAAATGGTGTCCCACAGACCTCGTGTCGCGTCAAACTGGTGTCCCACAGACCTCGTGTCCCGTCAAACTGGTGTCCCGTAGACCTCGTGTCCCGTCAAACTGGTGTCCCACAGACCTCGTGTCCCATCAAACTGGTGTCCCATAGACCTCGTGTCCCGTCAAACTGGTGTCCCATAGACCTCGTGTCCCGTCAAACTGGTGTCCCATATACCTCGTGTCCCGTCAAACTGGTGTCCGTAGACCTCGTGTCCCGTCAAACTGGTGTCCCATAGACCTCGTGTCCCGTCAAACTGGTGTCCCGCAGACCTCGTGTCCCGTCAAACTGGTGTCCCGTCATGTCAGTAACTTATTTACAAACTAAAACTCATTTTCAGAGAAATGCTTTCTGCGCTCAGTTTCTTGTCCTTCCCCCGCCCCTCCGCTTAGCACGGTTGGCTTCGTACGGTGCGCCAAAAAAAAAAAAAACTTCAACGTACATGTATGCATGTATCTACACGTGTGTGTATGTATGTAACTTGTTTCGCTAAATCGGAGATGCGCAGGAATGAAGTCGGAGGTGGTGTGTTTGATGTGCTATCCGTTGACCCACTGTTCAGCTTGGCCGGGAATATCGACTGGGGCGACGTCCGTTGATCGATAATGTCGACCAGAAACCGTGGACCTGATTCACCTCCACCTCGCGTCCCGTTTTTGCCGGCACGTCGCGTCGGCCCGGGCACCGTCAGCCAGGCGTCTCCTCTCTCTCCTCCACCCCATCACCGGCAATCTCGTCTCTCTCCTCCACCCGCAGCCTCCACCCCAACATCCGGCAATCTCGTCTCTCTCCTCCACCCGCAGCCTCCACCCCAACACCGGGGTCTCCTCTCTTTCTTCCGCGGCACCGCCGTTGTCTCCCCGGCGGACGACGTCAGCTGCATGCGCCGTCGAGCACCGCGAAGATGCTCGTCGCCCTCGACCGGCCGTACGCCGGCGGTAACCGGTACCGGGGCGGCGGCGCCGGCGGCGGCGACGACGGCGCCGGGAGGAACCCGGGGTTGGCCGCGGCGAGGAGGAGCGCCGGGGACCGCGGCTCACGGGGCAGCAGCGCTGCCTTGTGCGGCGCCAGCACGCGCCGGTTGATGGCGAGGTCCCAGCGGACGGCGCGGCGCGCGGCGGCGGGGCGGACGCGGTCCGTGCGCCGGCTCCGCCCCCGCCACCGCCACCGCGGGCAGCAGCAGCAGCAGCAGCGGCGGCGGTGGTGCTGGGCAGCGGCGGCGACGACTCCGCCGACGAGCAGCAGCGCCGAGACCACCAGCGCCGGCAGCACCGTCTCGAGCCACGACCTGCGGCGAGCGGCGTGGAGGTCATTCGTTGTGGTGCGGTGCAAGGGGTCACCCGGCGCCCCCGACGCCCGCCACGTGCGGCGACGCGGGCGGCAGCGATCGGCTTACGGACGGCGGTCGCCCATCCGAGCCGCTGTCCGACCTCGGATCCGAGGACTCCCGTGCGCGTCCGCGCCAAAACGGCTGCTGGAGTCTGCAATGCGCCATCGCCTTGAAAGGTGGTGCGAGTTTAACGGGCGTATACTCTTACGTTTTTTTTTCGGTAAAGTCACGCAGGTAAACATTTTTTTAAATTAATAAAAGTAAAATAAAAAATCACGACGTTTCGGAGGCAACACAAGCTTCCGTCTTCAGGTGGAACCGTCACAGCACGATTGCTGAATCAAGTAAAGAGGCATTCTAAGAGACCCTTCCTTGTATATGAAGTATTGGAAATGACGGCAGGAACTTCTTGACGGGTAACACACTTTTATTAAATCTTGACGTGTCACAATACAACGTGTGGTCTCTATTCTTTGTACTATACACTCCACTTAACTCGTGTAGACTCTATGCCTCTGGCTACACACAATACACTTGACTCGTGTAGACCCTATGCCTCTGGCTACACACAATACACTTGACTCGTGTAGACCCTATGCCTCTGGCTACACACAATACACTTGACTCGTGTAGACCCTATGCCTCTGGCTACACACAATGCATTCGGCTCGTGTAGACCCTATGCCTATGGCTACACACACTACACTCGCCTCTGGGTTACACAGAGTCCCGGTCCCGTTAGGACAGCGGGACTAGGTACCGCAGGGCCCTAGGTCTTCGATCCCCGTCTTCATTCTTCGCTGGTTACATACTGCCCTTACGCCTGTGTGCATCCCCTTTTATAGCCCCTGCTCACGGGAGACGGAGCTGATGCGGACGTCTACGTGAGCATCGCTCCTTAGTTAACCAATCACGACGCGCTCTCTCTACGATCCGTTCTCCCCCAGCGCGTGTTAACACTACTCCACCAATCACACCGCGCTGTCACCTGATCACTCCCTCTCAGCGCGTCACCGGCACACAGCCAATCAGCACCCCGTAACCCACGACCCCGCGCTGACCCCTGATCCTCCACCGTCAGTGCGCGTCACCACATACACAGCCAATCATTACGCGCTGGCATACGATCCCTAATCCCAGCGCGTATCACCACTACATATATATACTGGTTGAGGGTGGGAGGAGCCAAGGTAGGCACCTGGATCGGAGTTTTGTATTATTATTGTGAGGTTGGTGCGGCTGAGGCTGCTGCTAGGAATGAGCCTTTGCTGTGTAGACTGGTTGAACTGGGAGGTGCCAGAGTTGTTGAGGTGCGGCTGCTGTTTTACGGGCGCTTTACTTTCGCTGCCGAGATAACGAGGGGACTGGTGGACACGCGATGCACGGGCGGCATACCCGGCGCGGACGCCGAAGCCGGTCGGACGAGCCCCCCCCCCCCACCCCCCCCCGTTTTTTTTCTTTTTCACCGGCGTAAATGCGGCCGTGAGTGACTTCTTATGGAAACGCAGCCTCCCCCCCCCCCCCCCCCGAGCGGTCGTCACGAAGTGGCTCTGGCAGCGACGGTGTCACGACCCGCATCTCGAAATGTGAGAAACGCGGCGTCGGTCCCCGGCGACGGCGACGATTTATCGCGGCGGCGAAATTTCAAGCGCGAGCGTGACACCTGTAGCCGATTCGCATCGCTGGGATGGAAGAGAAGGATGAGAGCGAGAAAGGAAGGAAGGAATGAAGATTGGACGATGAGGCCGATCGATCAGACCAAGTCCACGCTCCCCCGCAGCAAACTAAATATTTTTTGCGGGCAACTACCGGGGGGGGCGCTCCGGTTTGGCGCGGTGCCGCGGGTTTACAGCCCCCCCACACCCCCCCCCCCCTTCCCGTGTCGTGTCAGCCCCCCCCCCCCCCCACCTCTCGCTCTCTCCGTGTCGGCGTGGCGATAACAAAATATGAATCGTGATAAAAATTGACGACGACGATCATGACGACAATCGCAAATTTGGGAAATTACGGAAACGCAAAAACTACGTCAACCCCCCCCCCACCCTCCCCCACCCCTCCCCCCACCCCTCCCACCCCTCCCCCCGTTGTTGTCGTCGTTGAGAAAAGCGCTTCAACGAACCTCGACGATCGGCGAGCGGACGATCACATTTTGTTAATGTGCGCGGTAATGTATCTCTATGCATATCGCTGGCCTTCAGTTGTCATCTTGGTCATCAGCTGGGGCTGTTGGTGGGGCTGTGGCTGGGGGTAGGGGGGGAGAGAATTGGATGCTGCTGTAGAAGTCACTGGGGGGCAAATGGTTTTTTAAATGGGAGCCCTTGAGGCCGGTTTGTTGGGAGGGAGGGGGGGGAGGAGATGGGCACGGGAAGAAAGAAGTGGGATCGGGGAGAAAAAAAACGGAACTTTAAAGAGGGGCCTTCTTCCTCAATTTCATTTAAATGGAAATTCCCTGTCTAAAATGCGAATGCGCGAAGACTCATATTCATGAGCTCTTCACAGCACCACCACCACCGCCACCGCCACCACCACCGCCCCCTGCCTCCCTGTGCGTGCCTTATCTCAGCTTCGGAAATCTGATGCTCCGTTCGTCGGCTGTGTAATTTAACTGCGGGACATTGCGAATTTCAAAGACTTGACTTGGAAGTGCCCCCCGCCACCACCACCACCACCACCCTCCACCCACTCCACCGTACATCTATTGCGGGGGGAGGGGGTGGAGCCTTGTGGTCGACTAATACTCGGCTCATACTTTTAGTTCTTTCGGTAAAGTCACGTAGGTAAAAAATGAAATTAAAACTAATACAAATAAAACAATAAAAAATAGCAATAATAAAAAATAAAATAATAATAAGTAAATAAAATAAAATAATAATAAATAAATTTCGAGTTAAAGCTTTCGTGACTGCAGGGATTCATCTTCTTGGTTCTTTCGGTAAAGTCACGTAGAAGGGAAGTAATAAAATAATAAAAATAAAACATAATAAAATAATTCTGTGGCCGAAACGTCGTGAGAATAATTTCATTATGTTTTATTTTTATTATTTTATTACTTCCCTTCTACGTGACTTTACCGAAAGAACTAAGAGTATGAATCCTTGCAGTCACGAAAGCTTCAAATCTAGAATGAATACTCGGGCTGTTGATGATGAGTAATCTCATCCGTTGAGCCGTTCTCCTGCTCTCGCCGCTGGTCGCCATCGCTCAGAGTCGCCCGTGCGGCGACGGCCCCACGCTGGCAGGTACATTGCCTGGTGCTCGCGCAAGAGCCTCAGATATTTGTTGATGGAAAGGGCCAGCGATTTCAGACTCTCCCCCCCGCTCTCCTCTCTCCTCCCCATCACCACCAGCTGGGCTCACTACACTCCCTTCCACCCCTCGCCAGCTCTCCCCAATCCCCCCCTCCCAAACTCCTTACCATGTTTTTCCTGCCAGCGCAATTGCGGCTGATTTGTACGACAGCGTTTTTCGAATTGGGAGCCGAGTGAATTTTGAATCGGTGTTCTCTCCGTCGTTTTTATATATATATTTATATAAATGTGTGCGTTGGGTATTTTCTGGTTGAGATTTCATTTTTTTTTTATCCGAAACGTGCCATCAACATCGCGTCCCCCCGAGACGGGCACGAGTCGTGAGAATCTCGCAGAAAAGCGAAACGAGAGAGCGTGCCGTGGAGGGCCGGCGGAAGAGGGTTTTTTTGCGCGCTGGGGGGGGGGGGGGGGTGGGACGTTGTCCCATGTAAAAATAAAATGCTTCTTCAGGTGTCTCTTTCCATCTCTTGCACAGAAGGAGGCAAACCCTTCACACACTCTGCCACGAGATTGTCACGAGCCGATGTGTTGTTTTTTGCTCAGATGAAATCCTGCTAAAATAATTTTTCAAAACAACTTTTTCACGTGTTATGTTTTTCAACAGCCACTTGTCTCCGGCTCGAGACGATCAACTCACCGCAGCAGAGAATCTGGTTTCGCGACGGACGGCTCAAACCTCGACTCAAACCCAGGTTCATCAGCATTGTCAGCCTACACCTCCCCTGACCTCGAAGCCACTCGACCACCCAGTATCATATTCTTAGGTTTTTTCGGTAAAGTCACGTAGGTAAAACATCAAAATTAATAAAAATAAAATAAAATAAAGATCACGACGTTTCGGAGGCAACACAAGTCTCCGTCATCAGGTGGGACCGTCACAGCCAGATTAGCTGCATCAAGTGAGGCAATCTGGCTGTGACGGTCCCACCTGATGACGGAGACTTGTTTTGCCTCCGAAACGTCGTGATCTTTATTTTATTTTATTTTTATTAATTTTGATGTTCTACCTACGTGACTTTACCGAAAAAAACCTAAGAATATGAATCCTTGCAGTCACGAAAGCTTCAAATCTAGAACCCAGTATCATATTTAAATTCACATTACGGAGCACCTAAACGAAAAGCTCCGCTCCCGGCAGAGGTGGAAATTCACTTCTGAAAAGTGCTCGCCGCTCTCTCTCCCAGCTGAGCCACCTGGCCGGACGTCGCTGTGACACGAGCCAATCTCCCTCCCCCCCCACCTCCTCGATGTTCGTCTTGCTGCCTTCTAACGGAGGAAACGTTCCCTTCCGATGGACTCATTTGCGATCCTTTTGGAACTTTCACCGGCGACGGAGCCTCCAGAGATACTGGCAACGAACGAGACTGTAACGTACGTACGTACGCATGCGCGCATGCTGACCTTCTTTTGCGCCGTACGTATTGTACGGCAAACTTTTGGGATAATAATAATAATAATGATGATGATGACAAATATTCACTGTTCTAAAAAAAAAAAACATGCATTTTCACGTGGAACTTTCAAGGTGCTGTGCGGAGCAAAAGGACGGCACGCAGATCAAATCGCGAAACTAATTGTTAAAGAGACGGAAAAAAACCCTAAAAAACACTTGCGCCTTGAGGCTGAATTTGAATGAAGAGTCGAAAATAA